AAGGGAAAGTGTATACGCTAACAGGTGCAAAGGCTTCCACTTCATTCAACTTGGTGAACGGGATGGGCAAGGCGATTAGTAAGAATGTGATATTTTTGTTTGATTCAGAAGCTACACATTCTTTCATACTTGTTGATTGTGTGGGGAGGTTAGGGTTGTTTGAATATACCTTGCACATTGATTTGTCTATTTCTACTCTGGCTGCTTTATCTGTCATGATGTCTAAGATGTGTGTGAGATGTCTGATAAAGGTATTCAGTAGGAAGTATAGGGTGAACTTGATATGTTTACCCATGGTGGAGATCGACATAATCTTGGAATGGATAAGTTATCTATTAATCTCATTATTATAGATTGTGCTCAAAGGGAGATGGTGTTTTCCTAGATAGAGGATGAGTTATTAGTATCAACTAGTCAAGCTGAAGAGTTGTTAGGGGGAGGAGTTAGATGCTTCATTCTATTTGGCGCTATGAATATGGAAACAAAGAATGTGGTTAGTGGGATTAAGTGGTGAGAGACTTCCCAGAAGTGTTTTCGAATGAGGTGTTTGGGTTACCTCTTATTAGAGATGCGGAGTTTAGTATTTATCTAGTGCTAGGTACAGGACCAATACTAGTAACTCCCTATAGTATGGTCCTAACTGAGTTGGTAGAGCCAAAAATGCAAGTGGAAGAGTTGTTAGAAAAGTAGATGGTGAGGCCAAGTGTGTCTCCATGGGATACTCTGGAATTGTTGGTTATGAAGAAGGATGATGGTGCCCAGTTGTGTGTTGACTACTGGCAACTAAATAAATTGACTATCAAGAACATATATTCATTCCCTAAGATAGGTGACTTGATGGATTAGCTTAGGGGAGCATCCGTATTTTCAAAAATCGATTTGAGGTCTGGGTATCACTAGATAAGGGTGAAAGAGAATGACATATCAAAGATTGCTTTCAAGACTAGGTATGGTTGTGACACCCTTCTACCCCATAATAAATAAGTAACAACAATAAAAAAAATTCAATAAATATAACATCAAGAAGGGTCCACATATTTTAATAAAAACTCATAGGTTCACAAGTCTTGAAATAAATAGAAATAATAATAATAATAATAATAAAGTTTTACTCTTAAAAGAAAATTATCAAGGTCTCTAAAGAAAAATGAAAGGAATCCAGAATTTACAAATATAAGGTGAATATATAAAACTCTTAAAAAAAAGTCTCCTCAAACGACAAATAACAATTCATAACTAAAGCATTCACAAGGTCCAACTCTTCCTGTATTCTTCTAGGCATAGCTCTGGTAACAGGGCCCTTGGCCCATGGTCTATCATCCCCTCCTTCTTGAGAAGGATTTGTCCTCAAATCTGTAGGTTCATCTTCCTCATCATAACCTGCAAAGGGAATAAGATCACTCACATTAAAAGTGTTGCTTACTCCATAATCACTGGGAAGATCTAACCTGTAGGCATTATCATTGATTCTTTGGAGGACTTGAAAGGGACCATCTCCTCTTGGGTTGAGTTTAGACTTCCTTTGAGAAGGAAACCTTTCCTTTCTCAAATGAAGCCAAACCCAATC